GAGTGGCCCATGCCTCAGCCTGTGCCAGGGAAGCAGCACTCTGGGCAGAGCACAGCACATTCCAGGGCTCCAGACTGTTGTACAAATAAGGAAGAAAAAGGTCTGAGCTGGATTAGAGCAGGACCAGTGTGAACCACATTTCAGCTCTGAAACAGCTTTGTCACAGTAGGAAATGCAGCGGCATCCTTCAACCTGCCACAGTAGAGGCATTACCTTTTGCACAACCATGTCTCAGTTTTTCCTCACACAAGAAAGCTGTGAAGTTGAGCAGCTCACATATGTGTGTTGGGAGGCTTTGGCAAGACCAAGACCCACAGAAGATGCACTCAGTCCCTCAGTGCAGGGGGAGAACATCCCTGCAGCAGGCAGGTGAGCTTGGGCACAGCTCTGTGCAGGTCAAGCCCCTGCAGCCCAAGCACCACCCAGGCCAGGCTGATAGGATGGGTTTTCTTGTAAAGAGGTGATTTTTCATTTCTGTTTCTAGGTTAGTCACCTCCTTTACTGGAACAAATAACTAGCTGAACACTTGTACACAGGAAGCCACCAAGCCACCATCAGCTCAGCATCATCCTCTTCATAAGAGCAGAGCTCTGGCACATCAGTGGCCAGGAAACACTGCCCGTGCTTTGATTCCAGTAATTTGGCTGCAGCACTTGATGAATTAGATAGGCTGACCAATGTTTAAGATGTATTTTCCAACTCCTGATATAAGAAATGACAGCTTTTAATTACAGTGCTTAATGTTTTAGAGGACAGCTGTTTCTTTCACACTGAATTAACAAGCTATTCTGAGCAGATTTGTACTGTGCATACAGATCTAAACTAGTTGTGAAGATAGTTTAGTTTGGAACTTTATTTTTTTGGCATATTCCCACTTCTGAGTTTCATGTATTTGTTTCTTCTGGCGTGTTGAGGTTATAACAGACAGGACCACCTGCATTTCTCAGGATCTGGTGCAACAAGGGCTGGGATGGGGCCCTCAGTGTCACCAGAACAACACTGCCAAATTGAGAACAAGTTTATTTTTGTATTGCACAGATGCTGGTTGAAGGGACATAGCTCTTGACCCATGTTAGCACTCAGGTGCTTGTGTCCAGGGAAGTTAGACACAAGTGAATCCCTGAGGAGCTGACACATAGAAGCCACTCCAGAAATGATGGAGAAAGGCAGGTACTGCTGCTTTGCAATGTTACTTAACTCCACCTGTTTGCAGAGCAAATTACCCTTAAAAAACATAGCTGAGCTCTCATCTGTATTGTAAGAAAGACGTGCAAAGGAAGAAAACAGAAAATAAAAAGCAACTCCAGCCCACAGTCTTGGCAGCCTGGCTCTCTCCCAGGTCTCTGGCCTGGATTCCTGCAGTTCTGAGTGAATGCTTCTTTACTATCTTGCTATCCATCACACCTGCTTTGTCTGTTGCCTTCAGTGTTCTGCATTTACTTATTCCCACACTCAGATCTCTCTCCCCTTCCCCAGCCCACTGTATTTTAGTGTAATAAGCTGTAAGATGAGATTCTATGAGAAATAAAACCAACACTCTACTGGCCTGTTCCACTTTGAGTTCTGAGTTTGCCGAACACAACACAGATTTCTTTTATTTTTTTAAAGTAGCAGCTGACTACCTTAAGAAACCAGAATCTGTTTGGGGAAGTTGTAGGAAGCTAATATTAGAGCTGCCATTTAATTCTCAAGGCAATAAAATGGACTGAGGGGCCAAGTCGCCTCTGAATGTCTTTCATGTTGGTTTGTTACACAGTGTGAGCTTGTTTTACAAGTGCTCTGTTTACAAGAATGTTGGGGGAGCAGGAGAGGGGGGGAATGTTCATTTAAGCCCCACATTCACATAGGGCTACTTTTGTAAAGGCCTGATAGAGTCCTACCAGCTGCTTGCCCACAAAACTTCACAATTGTGGAGGCTAATTAAGATTCTTCAGAGGAGCTCTCCTCTCCCCAGCGGCTGCAGGCAGCCTCATCAGACATGCTGTCCCTCCCCCTGGGCCCGGCAGAATGCCCTTCTTGCCTGGGTTATGTTATGGCTTATGAATTAACCAATTGATTCTGAAAATATCACTACTTTAGGGCTAAATAAAGCTGTTCCCTTTAAGGGGAAAAAAGTCAGGGCTCTGCCTAGGAATAAACTGACACTGTGTTACCTATAAACTCCCTTCTCTCTCATGCTGCAAGGCATTTGCTTGCCAGGGTACAGTGAGTTGAGTACAAAAGGAATTTATGGTGGATTTCTGTGAATAGAGGAAGGTTTTCCTGAGCCTGGACAGTAAGCATGACCTATCCACTTGCAAGTAAATAAAGCTTCCTGCATGCAACTCCGACTTAAAAAATTAGTTTACTTGAAGTGACTGTGCATATTTGCCTTGTCTTTTTTGTGTCCACTTCTCTCCAGCTTCAAAGTGAAGAAACCTGTAACCAGTACAGATCAAGCATGGCTGAAAGTTGGTTGGTACTACTGCTCTGTAGCTGAACACAGCTCTAGTACTGGAACAAAAATCTCAGCTGGCACCAATACATAATGTTGGACCTCCAGAATCCTTTGAGGGGTTATGGCCTCAAAAATTTATATTCAGGCTTTAAATTGATTTTAAACCAGAATCAAATCCAATGTAGAGTCTGAACTGAGTAATATAAAAAATTAACTATGTTTCCTCTAATGCACATAGCTATCCCCTGGTGTGTTTGTGCAGATCCGTCATTTTGCATACTTAAAAGAAAGCTAACTGCAGGGACAAGATATCTCAAGCAGTGAAGAAACTCAGTGTGGTGACGTACACAGTTTCATGTTGGTCACAACAAGTGTACCATCAGCTTGGACTTCCTCCTCTTCCTAAATGTCTCAAGTGTTTGCCTATACCTTCTTCAATTAAGGATCCTCTCCCCTCCCCAAACTAAAAATTTGAATATTAAGACAACTTCATTGGACAAAACCACACTAGATATTGTAATAACAAAATGCTTTATTTTTGGGGAATACAAGGAAAAGTGTGACATCATCATAATCAAATTGCTTTAAAAAGGCATTCTTCCTTTGAAAAAGGTAACACTCGCAACAAAAGGTGACCGGTGAACAAGCCCTCTCATGTAGCAGCAGGAATTCTTTCTTTACAGCCAAAGGCAGGGTATGAATAATGTACAGCCACAGATTCCAATCAGTCGATATTTTCTAGTAGGTTAGGGCACAGGCTCAGCACTGCTCAGTGTGACAGCCCAGAGGGAGGCTGACAACACGCTCTGAGACAGGGCTTTCACAGTCCTCACCCAGTCGCTTTGCAACAAACCACAAGACTTCACCATTACCACAAGAAGACACTGAGAAAGCCACAAGGTTACTAATCTTCTTGCTCATCTCCAAAAACTTTTCATGCAAGCCCTATGCTCGTGAAATTCTCGTACCATCAGTCTGGTTACAGCTCGGAGTGTCACCACACATCCCCTCTGCTGGCAGCCAGGGCTGTGTGTGAGAGGGACACAGCAGATCCAAGGCTCCTGACACAATCCCTTCCCCAACCTGTTTCCTGTACAGAGGGCTCCAAGCTGGGATGTGTTTTAAAGACTGCAAATTTGTATCCATTAATTACTTCTGCCCTCTCTGAACCTTATGTTAGAATTCAAGTTGTTAAAGAAAGGGACTGGGAAGTTTCTAAATTTGTCAGGTTATAAAGCAGGCATTCATATTTCAGTCCAGCGTGACAGCTCTTTGTCACAAGTGGTATCCATCCATGCTAAGGGGTAAGATACATTGGTCTTGTTTAAAGGAGGCTTGTGTTGTCTGAAGTGGGGATGGTAAACTCTAAAAGAATTACTGGTTTTCTTTATTCAGGTTAGACATAACAAATATGCCAGATACAGCAGTTAGTCTAGAAAAATACATTTAAAAAATCTTCAGCTGACCATGCTCCCTGTAACAAAATCTTTCAAAACCAATTTTACAAATTATTCTACATTAATGTAAAAAGAAAATCTTAAATTTAGCATAGTGGATTCCATCAAACATCTATCAAAACATGACTTTCACTATCTGCAGATGTTAGAATTCATAATACATTTTTCCTAATGAATTCTGTACATATTAAATAACCTAAAAGGCTCTTCTTGTAGTGCATTAACAATTTAGCAAGCACACTCAGTATTTCTCCAGTACCATTTGCATTACAGTTATTTGCCCGCAAATGTAATTAACGTCTAAAAGTGCACACAGTTAGATCTCCCTCCCTCCCCATAACCTGTTTCCCTGCTGAAACCCAGACATCCACTGGAAACATTATGCTACTGTAGCTAATCTACCCATTATTAGAAATGTGTGACTAAAGTGTTCTTAAACTATACAGGAGCTGACTTATATACAGGAATCAAAAGGACAGCCTGTATTTACATCCAGAATGAACTTCCACTACCACAGCATTATACCAAGAACTCAATACAGTGTTACAGTCGGCATTCACACAGGACTTTAGCTTTAGATCAGTATAACACAAACTTAGTTCAGCACATACCCTGAAAAAATGAACATGTTTATTAAATATTACTTCAATTATGCCCCATGACAAATAACCATTGCTGGATATTCTTACAAGTTCAGTGTTTGAAATAGTGTAATAGTGTGCTGCTCTGTGAAGCAGCAAAGAACTTCCAGAGAGGTTACTAGGGAAAAAAAAAAAAA